AGACAGCCACTAATGAATAAAGCATCCAAATTATTCAAAATAATCTGCAATTGCTTCCAGACAAGATGAAAACACCAATTTATGCTCATTTTGTGTCTATTTTGTACCACAATCTGAAGAGATTTTATGAAAGTTATAAAAAACCAGAGAGCCTGAGATCCAAGAAACAGAAGTCACTATGATCCCACAGAGCTGAAACCTACCTTTATTTGAAAATATCTTTTTCTAGCATTCTGCAAAAATAAACCAAAGACATCAACAGATTTCCCTGAAGCATTCATGAACCACAGGCCAGAATTAGGGAATTATCTGTTGCCTTGAACCTCACAAAGGAAGTGTGAGGAAGAGATTTTATCAAAGAAAACATCCCTACCCACAGTGCTCCCACACATACTGTGCAGGAGTGTCGAGTGGACACTGGGGAAGAAAAGAGGGATAAAAGAGCTCAGGGTAAGTCACACTCCTTGGGTGTGTTCCACTTCCTGGATCAGAAAAAAAAAACCTTAAAAATCCCCAATTTTCCTTTTAATTTATAACCTTGCAATTTAATTAAATACTTCTGCAGCCCACAGAAGCGCTTCAAGTTCAAAACATTTCAAACACTCACCTTGTAACACAAAGGCCACACTTGCATGAACAAATCTAAATACAACTGTAACTATCAACTGCCACCATATTAAAAATAACAAGTCCTCCACACTCAGTATTTTTATATTTATTTAGGAAAGTATCACATGATCACATTCCTCCTAGCAGCACAATGATAGCTCCAGAAGTCAACTGAGTGCATTTATTTTATGATTTTTAAACTTGTAAGGTGTAAAAATAATCCATTTTGGATTATTTTACAGACAGAGTCCATAAAATGACATCAGGCTTGTCAGGAATATTTTCTTTTCATTTGGATGCTATTCTTAGTAGTGTCTATATTTTAGAACTCTTTCCTTGTGGAACTGCAGAAAGGGTTTTTGTCTGGAGATAGCTACTGGCCAAATGGCCTCATGAATTTAGGATTTGTGACATATTAGTTCATTTTTATGGAGATAGCAAAAAGACTCCAAGACAGATTTAACTGATCTTCTTTAGGACCCAACTTTACTCCGTGTTGGATTAATATAACAAACAGTTCCTGTGAAGTACACAAAGCTATTTTTAATTGGGATTAAAATGCAGAGTTGACTATTTCAACGCTAGTCATGTAATTTTTCTCACACAATCACCCTCATTTGTTCACATCATAACCCCTATTTTATCACTAAATACTCAGTAGTTCTATTCACTCCTAAAACATCACCTCCTCTACTCCTTTGCCTTCCTGAGTACTGAAAAAGCCTCTACCCTCCCACAACACCTGACACACGTTTTGACTGCCTCTGGCTGATCATCTCTGATCACTCAGTATTGCTCACCTCTCCCCTCCTGTACACACTTTTCTGTGTGACCAGCACAACACCCCCAGAGCTTTTCTGAAACTTTCAGGGTCCCTTATTCTTTCATGTCTATTTTCAATGTCAAATCCTACCATCTCCACACTGAACTTCCACACCCCTGCAGTTCATTTTTCTATTGTCTCTTTTTGTTCTTAGTGTTCAGACAGCTAACAGGAGTAGGAAGATAAAACTTTTACTTCCTTCAGTTGTTTTTTTTTTCCCTTAGCAAACAAACCACAAATGGAAACAGTTCTGTGTTCCTGGGAGTCATTTGAGAATGTTCCAGAAGCACTCCATAGGTCATGTTTAGAAGCTTTTTGGTAGGCAAGTCATCTTTTACCTGTTTCAGGTTATCTGCTGAACATTCTGTGCTTACTCTGCAGCCAACTCACAGATGGGAACAAGAGCTCCTAACCAGACACCAGGGACCACAGACAGCTTCAGCAAAAGTAGCTTCAACTCAGTAATAAGCAGCTTAAAGAGTATTTTCTGGTTTTGAACAGAACTTCTCCTGCTTACAGTCATCCTTAACCTTCCAACTTTATCCTGACTCCAGAAGAAACTCAAATGGAGTTATTTAGTATTCTGAAATGTCAAGTTTCATTATTAAAAAATCTAATAATTCAAGTATTAGACCAAAAGGAAGGTCAGCATTTCACACATGGTCTAAGCAAGCCCTGATGCTAAAAGCAGCCAACCTATTCATCCCTTTCTCCCTTTGTTATTTATTCCTGGGACTACATCCTCCTTTAAATGCTTCTGCTGGAAAGCTATTTCCCCCAATCCTTAAGCTCACAAGTGCAGCCAGCCACTTCATCCTCTGCAGAACAATGCTACACTAAAATGCTCTCTGAGCTTTGCTTTTTTCAATACTGCACCATCCACACCATCCATTCTAGGCATGCTCTCTCCTTCCTTAATGCTCCAGAAAGGAGAAAAAGGAGTTCAACCAACTGTGCTCTGCACCTGCTTACAAGGTTCTACTTAAGGTTAACAGTGAAGTTTTCTGCATATTAATAAAAGCTGATACTTAAATCCACTGTATTTGAAACCTTTCCAGAAATTTCCTAATTATACATTTGAATCTTTTAAAAATTATATTTCAAGTTTAATAGAAAGCTTTTTATTAAGGGGTGCACTTTACATCTTAGGTTTTGACAAGAGATTATTAAAATTATTTTTTAAATTATCACCTCCAAAGCAAGGGACCATAAGTGATTGGATTGCCAGAAATATCTGTTAGAATATTAGTAATTAAAAAACAAAAGTGAGGTTGAAATATCTCTAAGTAACAACTTCACAGTCTTAGCAAAGGTCTTTATTTTTTTTATAGAGCTATTCACATGAAAAATCAAGCTAAAATGTGAAAAAGTATTAAAAGCTAAGAATGCTATTTAGAGAGTATATGAGCTCCATTTTCTACAAGCACTTGTTAAAAGACATTAGGCCTAACTTTAGTATAGATTATTTAAAATCATTATTGGCAGGTACCATGTTTGGCCTTTCATTACAACAAAAAGAAAAGAATATTGGAAAATGCCTTCTTTTTTATGAGCATCTTTATTCATATACTCATGGCACAAGACATCCCAGTGATCTGTGTGCATGCAGAGTACACAGGAATCAAATAATGCATTCTTATACAAGAAAAATGCAACATATAGAGGTTTTGAAATCAATTAAAGAATATTCTGTGGGCATACAAGAAAAAGCAAAAAAAAAAAAAATTAAAAAAGGGAGAAGAAAAGAACCCATATAGCCAGGTAGCTATCACACTTAACATTGAAAAAGAAAAAGCCTTCTTCCAAGGCCAAGACAAGACATTGTAAACTCAAGGGGTTTTTTTCCATCATCATAATTAGTACCCTGAAAAAAAAAAAAAAATGAAGAGATTTATTTAGAAAAACTGCAAATGACTCATTGAACCTGCATATCCTCCAGGATAAAGAACTTCTCAGCACAGAACTCTAAATGTGGTTTCCATGAGAACAGAGGCACATCATATTTTTAATGTCTTCTCTTAGGAAGTAATCTACATTTAAAATATGGAAACTAGCATTAGAGAACTAAACCAAAGTTAACTTAGGTTCATACTCCAGTGGAATACTTGTTCTCTGCAATAAGATAAAGCCATTCTGTAATAGTACCAAGAGGACAGTATCCATGTTATTGCTAATTGTGCTGCATTCACCACGTTCTGGAACAGCTGCATTCTTCCCAATAACAGCCATATTGAAAAAATAATTATTCCATTATTTAAACCCTATCAAACAAGTCTCAGATCAATTTGACTCTCCAACTCACACATCCAGCAAGGAAAATCACCAACAGCTGAATTACACTACACTGATCCACAAGTTCCAAAGGCCAAATCTGAACTAATTCTTGCTGTGACCAGTGAAGCAATCCCAAACACCAATGAAAGAGAAGAAATCCTTTGGAGAAAATAGCATTTGTACTATTCACAAGTGGTACTTGATACAAAGGGGGGACTGACATAGCTGATCTGTGCCTATTCCCCTCCCCTTCAGGAATCAAATCAAAGTTCAAAGAGCAGCACCTGACTGTGGGGTTTTTGCAAGGTTGGTGTCACCTGGGATATGTGGAGGGGTTTGGCTTGTGAGAATAACCACACCTGCCTGCTCCAGCCTCTGTTAATCCCAGGGTTCTGACTCATATTGCACAAGCTAGAATCCAACACTTACCAATAAGTAAGAATCAAGGAAGAATTTTTCCACAGTAGTGAGTGAGACTTTTTACAGCATTGACAGAACAGTGACAGAGATCTGAAGAAGAACTTGGTAAAACAATCACAATTCCTGGTAGGTCAGACATTCAGATCAAAAATGGCACAGGGAAAGCCTATTCTGAATGCTATGGGCTAATCCTCAGAGCACAAAGAGACAAGAGTAGGTCAAGGGCCTTCAAACAGTCAAAAACCAAAAAATTCTACCCATCAAGAGGGAAAAAACCCCAAAACTCCCACCAGGGGGAAATACACAGAGGTACGTTAGCTTTGGAAGGGGCAGGCAAATACACTGGATCCATGAACTGCAGCAATCCCCAACTGAACCAGGAGATGTTTTAATAAACCCTAGATGTAAGTGAGGGAAACTAAATCACATGTTAAGCAGTTAGGGGATAAGGAAATGCCCCATGTGAGTCTGAGGGTTGTATTTTTTTTTTTGTTTTCCTTAAAAACAGGCATTTAAAACCTGCCATTTCAAGCCTAATTTCCTGCTGTCCTCTTCAGTAGCACAGCACATTCAAGGCAAATGACTTCTGACCAGAAGAAAACACCTTGGAAAAGCATTTTTCTAACCTGCTGGCAGAGCACAGGTGCCTCAGCAATGCATTTGGAAGCACACAAAGATGGACACACATCCTCTGCTGCTGCTATTGAAGACATCCAAACAATGGCTTGGCAAAAATATTATTACTCCTAATAGAAAAACAGTGGTGATTTTTTTTTGTCTAAAACAGTTGTATCAAGAATTAATTGAGTAAATTAACAGCAGAAATATAATAGTATACCATCCATGGAAACTGTAAGTGCTGATTTATCCTTACCTTCTTCTGCCTCATCCTCCTGGGATGACATAGGCCCTCCTCCACTTGTTGGGGTGACTAATTCTTCCTCTCTGGCAGATTCTCTTTGCAGGCTGACAACTTCATAAATTGCATCTCCAGCACTTGTATGGCTTTTTCCTTCAGACTAAATGAAAATAGGGGTATGTATTAGGTTGAAAAATAGGGCTATGAAAGGCTAAACAATAGTTTGGTCAGGATTGCCTCAGATTTCTTTGCCTTGGCACAAATAGATGGCAGTATCTGAAAGTTCTGTTTCTCTCAGTTTTACAGGTAAAAATATAGATAAAACTGCATTATTTCCAAAGCTGCCTCTTGACAACCATTTTGAGTGTTGTTCAGAACAATGATTAAAAAAACTTACCAATTTAAACAGCTATAATGAGATTAAGTCAAAGAAATCTCAGCTACAGAAAAGAGGAGAGAACAAAGAGGAAAGATATTGGAGTAAGTGAAACAGGAACTGAATGCCTGAGGGGGAAAAAGTAATGCTCAGAGCTTTTTTTGTAGGTAAAGAGGAAACTACAGAAAAAACAAAACCTCACCCTTCTGAAAAGCCTTAAATTGTGGAAAGCTCCTTTACTCACTAAAAACCAGGAAAATGTATCTTTCTTCAGCAGAACACAATTTAAAATACACTCCTTCCAATGAGAAATGTAATGGAGTCCCATGGCAGGGGGTCTGGAACTAGGTGATCTTGAAGGTCCCTGTGAACCCACACCACCCCACGGTTCTGTGACTTTCTTATGAAAAAGAAGTCAGTTAACTACAGCTTAAGCAGTTGCAAGTTTTAAAATAAAAAGAGGATTTGTTTTTCCTTTGAGTTACAGTTATGAACACAGTTATTTTTCAGTGATATGCAGTGATTACTATATTTTTAGAGAATTGTATATAACAGCAAACTAATGATGGTATTAAATAAAGCAGCCCAAAATGTTGTGCTATTTTTTTCTTTGTGCATCTTGTCTAATCCATTAAAATAAGGTAATTATTGGATCATACTAAAATCATCAAATTAGCCATGGAAAAGAACACAGTTCCAGTTAGAGTACGCTCAACTTGTTTGGAAAACAAATATGATAAATTTGAAAGGCTCTACAATACCTGCACAGGAGATATACACAAACTACTGACCAACACCTGCAATTTCAACCAGCTGGTGAAATGATGCAGATGAGCAGCTTAAACAGGGATTGTTTTACTGACACAATATAAGTTATTTTATAGTGAGAAACCTTTCCTCATTTATTTTAGATTAATAATTGAGACCCACTTCTCTTAAAGCAGAGGCTCCAATTATCAGCCAGTTTCCTGACTCAATTTCTCATCAAGTCAGTTTAATGAATTTTGGGGTGTAGGCATAAATAGCCTGAATTCTGTAAAAATTAAGCAGGATAACATCAGAGCTGTTATCCCTGTTTTATTCTCACATAACACCATTATTGAGTAATTACAAAGTACTTGGTTAAATCAATCAAGTATTGATAGCACTAATGTTATTAAGCATGGGTCTCTATAGCTGTTATTTTTGAGAGAGTAAAGCATGAGATACTGTGGGTTTTGCTGCATGTTAAAATTATTACAAGTCTTCAGCTCCTTGCACATGGTCTGGTTAACTGCAAGAGCCACCTGTATCAAATGTAAAAAAATTAACTACTGGTTTTCTCTGAAGCACAAAACCACCATTCCAAGCACCATGTTCTAACAATGAAAACGTGCATGAGCAATACAGTAAGACAGCCAGAAAGAACAATCCTAAATGACACATTAAGCTGCATTTCTGTCAGCTTTTAGAATTCTTTATACCTGAGCACACCTTACCGGTCTCAGTTCAGGCTATTAACTGTGCCTGAATCCTTCCTCAGAAGGGTTATGATTTTTTTTTTTTTACAATCTACTTAATGCTCAACTGCTTTCCCAAGAAGTTCCCAAATGGCTGATCCCACTGCCATCTGCAGAGTTATTTCTCAAGGAGTAACAGAGCCCTGAGGTACAGGATCTTTCAAAGGTGTTGGCAGGAACAGCTACTGCAATGCAACTGAGAATTGGTGAAATAAAGATTTGTATCAAGTCACCCAAAGAGATCCTGGCAAACACAGCCAGGACCTCATCTTGCAGAAGGATCACTAGGACTAAAAATATTCCTTTTTCAAAGATCTGCACAACAGACTTTGAATTTTGCAGCAAGAAGAAATGCACGTGTTTCTTTTGGGAAGGGAGACGTGTATGTTTGTCACATTATAAGGGGTGAGAAAAAGAAAGCACCCATATTACCCCATTAAAAATGGTACAGTTGCAAGTGATTTAAAAGGCAAGCTGAACTGATAAGAGATAAGTATCAAACAACTGAGAACAGAATACTTTAAAATGTATTTTCTTTAATGTCCAAATGCAGATATTCTTATTTGCATGCAACAGCCAGCTTTCTCAGATTTCCTTAAATTCCAAGTTGCTATGCTAATCTCTAGAAGAAATACAGAAACAACATTGCTTGAGATTTATTTACACCCTAAGCGTTAAACACAGCAGCAATTTTCCCATGTAACATCAATACAGCTTGGTTTTTTCAGACCTATTGCTGTGCTCCACAAAAAGATGGCAACTCAAACAGTCCCATTAGGCTCAGTAAAATTAAATAATCGTTCTTTGGTTCCATTAGTCAAAGATCATGTGCTGTGGGCATTGGAACAGTGGTGCAACCTGGCCTCTGCTCTTCACTTTTGGAGCCAATACCAAGACATCAGTCTGTGGAGAAAGCAGGTGAGCAGTGGCTGCAAGAGGATGGAGTTACACATCATTGACAGTGAATGGGCAGATGTACTCTTGTATGTACCTCAGCCAATGCCAAAACCAGAAGGGACTTGAGCTACAATCATACCAGCCTCACTCTCTTAAAGCTCAGCATCAGGTTCCTTTGTCTTTAACAGGCCACATTCTTACAGCCATCTGCCCTCATATTGTAAATGTCAGCAGCCCTTTGATTTTACAATGAACAATTACAGAGCCATTTGCCAGTTCTACCAGTCAAGTGGGGTTGCTTTAGAGATTGTAGTGAATTAAAGAGAACTCAATAGGCAGGTTCAAAATAGTTGAAGCCCACAAAACCAAAGGCTTACGACTCATTACAATTCACTTTACAAAGTGTGCTGGGTTTGGCTGGGGTAGAGTTATTTCCTTCACAGTGGCTGCTTTGGGCTTCTGCTGGAAATGGTGTTGATAACACAGGGGAGTTTCAGCTCCTGCCCCACAGCTGCTGACACAGAGTCAGGGCCTTTGCTGCTCTTCATGCCACCCCACCAGCAAAAGGGCTTGAGGTGCACAGAAAGCTGGGAGGGGACACAGCCAGCACAGCTAACCCCAACTGACCCAAGGGATGCTCCAGACCATATGGCATCATGCCTGGCACGTAAAGTGAGGGTGAGCAGGAAGAAGGGGGGGATGTTTGGAATGATGGCATCTGTCTTCCCAAGCCAGTGTTACACTTTTCCCCAGGGGATGGCTGAGCACCTGCCTGCCCATGGGAAGTGGTGAATGAATTCCCTGTTTCGCTTTGCTTGAGCACATGGCTTTTGCTTTCCCTACTGAACTGTCTCCATCTCAACCCACGAGTTTTCTCACTTTTACTCTGCTGATTCTCTCCTCCATCCCACCATGGGGGAGTGAGTGAGTGGCTGTGTGGGCCTTGCTAGCTGGGGTTAAACCATGACACAAAAGCACTGAAACCATACACATGCTACTTAATCCTTATGCATTAGAGCATCCCTGAAATAAACAGTGCAAAGAAACAAGCTGCTGAGGAGCAAGTGCCACACTAACTTTTATAAAGGCCAAATTAGGACATATGAGACTGTGGTGGTGTTTGAGGGTCCCCAGGACGAGGGAAGAGCTGAGAATCTTGATTCCATGTTTCAGAAGGCTGATTTATTATTTTATGATATATATTATATTAAAAGAAAACGATTACTAAAACTACACTAAAGAAAGAGAAAGGAGACATCAGAAGGCTAGAAAAGAATGATGATAAAATCTTATGATTGACCAGAGAGTCTGACACAGCTGGACCCTGACTGGTCATCAAGTAGAAACAATTCACATGAGACCAATCAAAGATGCACCTGCCACATTCCACAGCAGCAGATAAGCATTGTTTACATTTTGTTTCTGAGGCCTCTCTGCTTCTCAGGAGAAAAACCCTGGCAAAGGTATTTTTCACAAATTATGTCAGTGACACGAGACAAATGTTCTAAATTAAAAAAAACCAAAGGCATTACCTGTTTTAGCTTCATATAGAAAGTTTCTGTGAAGGTTTTCCTGCTGAAGTACCAGAAGCGTTCGTTGGCAGGATACACACGCACCACGGTCTCCAGCAGGAACCTGACTGGCTCCACCACCTCAGTGACAACCATGTCCACAGCCACAGTCATGAACACACGCTTATCTGAAACACAAGCATGAGAAAAACTAATCAAAGCTCAAATCTATAAACTGCTGTTCAAATTGAAAATCCTTTCTGTTCCCTTAACGATTCTATTGCACCTGTTTTATTTGTCTGAGTTCTACACCCATCTGATAACTTCAAAAACAAAGATATTATGTCCTTGTTTTAAAGGCAGGAGCAAGACACCATGCAAAGAAAACACCACTGAAGTACACAATCCCCAAACAAAAGGAGCATGCAGAGGATAAGGTCACACTGTGAAGTGTAAGGAGTTCTGTTACATGCTACTAGAAATAATGTGGTGTGAAAATCCATCAGCAGGAACAGTGACACAGGCTGTAGGTACTTGGATATGCCTTTAAGCAAATGACCTGAGCTCTGCCTCAGGACAGGAAATAAATTCCAGACTTACATTCCAAGTTTTTTAATCCCATCAGAGAATCTAAGTTCCAGCAATAAGAAACTGCATGCACTTGAATGCATCATTGCCAGCTGCCCCAAGATGCAGGGGATGAAATTTGTAACCAACTCACAACTAGAAGGAGGAGAACCCCAATGCCTCCTACTCATACTGCTTTGCTGAGTACAACAATTTGCAAATGCTTAGAACCAAAATCCCAATAACCAGGGACAGGCACATCAGCCCCAAACATTAATGTAACATCTCCCAATCAGCACCACACACTGTTCTGTGAACAGTCATTCACAACTCTGTGTTGGGCATGCTTATACAGAAGAACTCCTAGCAATGGACTCCTGGAACATAATGTTTCATGAACTCAGACATGCACTGTGATTGCCAAGAGAAAGTGCACACACCAAACCCCTGCTGGGTAAAACTAACACACAGATTTGGTTCCACTACCTTTAGGAGTTTCCTCATTAAGTACTAGAAACATGGGTGCATTAGGATTCCACATTCCAGTAATGACATAAGCCTTCCCATCAGAACTCTTTCCCATGGATTCCTAAAAATGAAATCAGACAGGATTTGAGCTCAAAGAGAGGGACATGGGGATGAGAAACAGTTCTAGGAACCTTGAAGAACATGAATTAATGGAATGAACTATTACTAGTATGAGGCAAGTAGATGCTTCCTGAAGTTTTGTGGAACAGTCCCTATGGATCACACAGGCCTGTTTGGTAGCCTCTGTAGATAAAGGAGATTGATGTTCCCTCTCTGCAATTCAGTTAGGGATGGAAGAGTGACTGAGTTCTCCAGATTTAAATATGGAGAAAGGAGTTTGAAAGGAAATTACAAATGTCTGTTTCTGTGCTACAGTGGAGAAATAAACCAACAACTCATTAAATCCAGCAGTTAAATGTACTTGGAATATGAACATAAATAGAATTCAAGGTGGAGTGAAGACAGGAATTCAAATACAGTAAAAAGGTGTTGTATAGATTTAGAGGAACAACAACACTCCAAAACTCATTCTAATTAATTCAGTTTTATAATCAAATAAGAAAGGGAAAATCAGAACTGATTTCAGCAAATAAAACCAGGGAAGAAAAAAGAGCTGGTAAATACAATCAGGCCAATAAATGAGTCTGACAAGTGAACTAAATACTGATAAATAGAACCAGCAGCATGAGCACAGAAATGAACTAGGCAAAACTGGGACAACTGTAAAACCACAAAAGGTCTGATGGGTTTAACTCTTCCCAAATTTGCCCCAAACCAGGTCACTCTAGCACTTCATAACTTGAAAATGGCTGTATTATCCACAGAGAGAAAGTAAATTGGCATTATTACAGAAAGGATCACATTGTTTTGCAGTTCTCTCAGAAGCAACTCTAAGAAACAGAATATTGTAGAAGACAAGGGAATACTTCAAACTCTGGGCAAGAACTTAAAATCAAATGAAGGCAAAGTTTTTAGCCCCTTGGAAAAATAAGAGCACTTCCCTGGCACCCAAATATGAAAGCAATTATTTGCTCTGAATTTTTAGGGAACATGCTTCACACAATACAGAAAGCTCAGTCATTTGTAACAACCTAATCTCTGCTTCCCTAATTGAACAAAAGCCAGGTGCCACAGGTTTTGACAAGAATTGATATGTTTTGTCCATCTTATGATTGTAGATATCATATCTCAGAATTTAAGAAACAAACAAAGCAAAAGATATTAAAAGCTCATTTTTCTGGGTTTTCTTTTTCTTTTTTTCCAATCACCTTATCTTGTTTAACAGGTTATTAGGGCTAAGTATTACCATGTCTAGTAAATGCATGTCACTGTTCTTCACATTTCGTCCAGGGCTTAGCAACATCCCAAAGCACCTGAGGAGTTTATTTAAAACAAAACAAAAAAAAATAAAAGAAAGACACATATTAGCTTTTCACAATACAAGAATGTTTGCTTGAACATAATGGACAGCCACCTACTGCTTCTAATTTTAAGAGTACCTTTCAGAGAATTGTTTGTTATTGTTATGGCAACACTCAGGAAACAACACAACACATGTTACAGAAAAGACAATGAAATTATTTTCCAGAATGAAAATGGCAGAAACTAGCATCTGGCCTTTGAAAACTCAGCTGTTCCTAAAGACCATGTATAATAATGAGTTCAAAGATACCAACAATTCCTACACATTAGTGATGGAGACTGGCAGGAAAAAACTCACTCTCTCCCCAGTTCATTTTAAAAATTGTTCTCATGTAATCATAGGAAAAAATACAAATTCATTCATTCTATTCTTCATAATAGCACTGCTGCAAAACAATCACATCGCATCATAGACCCTTAAAAACAAAACCAAGAAACAACAATTCGCTCAATTTTAAGACTTCATTCTTCATTTTTTAAAATCTGAATTTGTGAGATATACAGGGCCTTGAATTCCAATCAAATCATTTTACAAGAAAATGCTCTTGATATTTTTAAGAGGAAAAAAAAAAAACCAAAAAATTTCCTCAGACATTCATATTTTCACAAACTTCCTGACTACTGAAGGCACAAATTCAGGCTTGAGGTCTCTGCAAATCATACATATCTTTCTCTCCTTTGAACATACTCCATTATGAATAAAAACACCAAACAGAATTATGTATAGGCAACAAACAGCAAGCTGTCTTGCACAGGTTTTTGAAAAACCTTAGATATCAAATGAAAAAAAAAAATTAAAGTAATTGCTATTTGAAATACTATGGAAAATTTGGTTTGTAATTCAGAGAGTTTTGTTGGAAGAATTTCTCTTCTGTTTGGTTCTCTGATAACCAAACTGGTTTTTCTCATTGACTTTTAGAATTAAGTAATATGCTGAACAATATTGCTTGGACATATGAACACCAGCAACTAAAATTTTAGTAACACTACAAACTAGAAAAGTCTCAAGATATGCAATCACTACCTCACCTAGCTTTCTCCTATTATATTAGGGGTATATGGTTTTTATTTTTTACCTCATTACACTTAACATCCACAACAGTATTTTCTGTTCTCCATACTCCTTCACTACTAGAATCACAAAAATCTAAGTGGTACATAAACCAGTAGACAAGGATTTGGATTTATCTATATCTATAATGCAGTGCTGTGTAAAGCACCCAAGGCAGCTCAGATCCAGGATTTGGATTTAGCCACACAAACCAGATTCTCTGAGAGACTAATTCAGCTGGGCAGAACCAACAGCATACCTACTACTTCTTGTTTCTGGGCCAGAAATAGGCCTGAGAGAGCGACAACTGATAGTAGCAGGGGATCACCAGCTCCTGCTACAGAGAAATGTAAGGCCAAGATACAGAAGATGGCCAAATATTTGTGCCTTCCAAAGACAACAGCTTCCAGATGCTGCTCATCACTCAGATGTACACAAGTTCTGATGTGTGACAGCCAAGATTTTTGGGAAGTATGTTTCCCAAAGAATGGGAGTCAGGAACAAGTAACCCCTGCCTCTCACAGAAGCAGACTTAGGATGCCTAGCAGCATCCTGCTGCAAGAAGAGTCAGGGCTTCTCTTCCCTCTTATTTCAAAGAGGAAAATCAGTTCAGACCAGGTCAGGACCCTCACTTGCAGAAGATGGATTTTACAGAAACAGCTGTCAGCACATTCAGCCTCTGACATGAGGGGGCTCAACCACACATCCAGGATTTAAAATGACCTGCACAGGTTGTGGGCCTCAGTCTCACTTCAGACTTGCTGGATTTCTGCACTTAAAGGTAGCTACCAAGCAGCTCTGGGCAGCTGCACATACTCCATTACTTTCTAGACCAGCAGGAAAATTTAAGAAAAGAACTGTAATTGTTATTCACAGCATATATTTTAATTTATAAAAATACAAATGCTACCCATGGATAAAACTGATAGCATTAAGTCAACAGCATGACAGGACAAAAGGGAATGGCTTCACACAGTCAGAGGACAGGATTACATCAGATATTAGGAATAAATTCTCCCCTGTAAGGGTGGTGAGGTCCTGCCACAGGCTGCCCAGAGAAGCTGTGGTTACTCCACCCCTGGAAGTGTTCAGGGCCAGGCTGGACAGGGCTGGAAGCAATCTGATCTAGTGGAAGGTGTCCTGCCCATGACAGAGCAGGGTGGTCTTTAAGGTCCCTTCCAACCCAAACCATTCTGGTATTCTGTGATCATGAAGAGTTTCCACCACTAATGAGAAACCAACCAATATTTTTAATATTTTGCAGTTCTAAGGATACCAGCCTACACTTTAACCTAAGGTATACCTACATAACTCAGGATTCACTCTCCTGTATGACTGGTAGCAAGCTATATGCAAACACCACTGTGTTGAGAAGAGTGTCAATCCTTCCATCTCTGACAATGAAAGGCTATTTCACTCTTAACAACAGCTTCCTTAAAGCCCCTGACCATTAACCAGAATTTTCTTCCTGAATCCTATAAACAACTGAGACCTGACATCCCCCATGGTGGGACTGAAGCTGTGTAGTGCCACACATGACTCTGAAATGAACACCATCTCTTCAGCTGCTTTGAGCCAAATAAAAACTGGCAAAACCCAGGTCAAACAGGGCACAAGAGCAGGAAGGGCCAAAGTAATGCATGAGAGTAACTTTCTGCATCACCCTGACTCAAACCAGGCTCTGTCTGAACACCAGGAGGGAGCACTCTCTCTCAACCAAGTTTGATCTCCTGAAATCACAACAAATGATTTTTGAAATCTTTAGATCAGGGACCAATTTCTCCAGAAATATTTTTTTGCATTGTAATTTCCTCTCTGAAGTACTTTTGAAGACACATTAAATTGCTCAGAAGCTCAGTCTGATGTATCCTGCATGCATCTTTCATCAGATCTGAATTTTAATCTTATCAGGAGTAAGAACATCAAATTACTTACAAGCCTGTGTATGTCATTTCAATTAAATAACTTTTACACAGCAAAACTTGTGGTGATAAAAATAACACCCCCAACTGAATATTCTAAACACCACCAAAATAAAAGCTAATTTCTAAGAAAGATAGTTTTACATTGGGGAGAAAAGCAATAATCAAATGCTATTCATAAATGCCTCATTAACTGAATCCTGAAGGCAAAACTGTTTAAATTAAAATTACACTGAAAATAGATTATTTTTTAAAGTCAATAAGTAGCAAAAGCCTAATTTTACAACATAAAAGCAATGACAAAAATTTTACTGTATATTTCTTGTATAAAACTTTAGCTTCCATTCTGAAGTAAAAGCTTGAAACTAAGTCAAGAGATCAGTAAGATTTTGGGAGGGCTGGGGGCAGGTTCTCTTGATTCTCCTGTTATCTTGAATTTCCTTTTCACTACAAACACATTCTCCCATTGTTACTCTTTTGCTAAGATTGCCATCTGGTGGCATTAATTCTGTTGTGCAATCATACTTTGTCTTATTGGTACATTTTTTTTCTATCACATAACTTGCCAAGTCAGAGAAAACTACATTAAATACCATTCTTTCAAAAGTATAACCTTCATCATTTTTGTTAGATTTTTACCTTTCAATGGCCAGTTCTTTGTTGGAAAGTTGCTGAACTGTGATCACCACTTTCTTCTCAATTCCCTGTTTAAGCTTGAAGTACAGTTTATCTCTATCCTTTGGCACAGGGCTAAAAGAATAGAAACATCCTTCAGCAGGTATAGAACATGAATTGTTAAATACAGAAAAGATTTTATGCTTCCTAATTTTAAATTAATTCAAAATTCATTAGATTTTAGAAAATGAAAAGAAACCACTAAACTGTATTTACTCAAGAAACTCAGTTTGATTAAAGTTTTTAAAATACTTCTTACTATCTTTTCCATTTGCACAGGCATCCATTGAGCATCCCTAAAAGAAACTATGCAGTGAAGAGATATTCACTTGAAGAAGGTATCCTGAATTTTAATCTTTTTACAGAAAAAACACAAAGAAAATTGGAAAATCATCAAAAGAGCAGCTTCCTATTTACAGCATTTCTGCTCATGAAAAGAGGTCAAATGAATTTTGTTGCACAGCAGCTGCGTGTGTGGAAAGTAGCTGTGCACTTTTTCCAAAGAGATTTCTGCTTTTCCCTTTCCATTCTGATTACCTAAAATTTCCTTTTCCATCATCTTCTTTGACTTCTAAGGAGACACTGAAAGTGTACACATCACTGTCTGGTGTGGGAAGAACAAAGTCCTTCACGTGATCAGACGCTTGTTTGGAAGAACGCTTGAATGCTGTGGAGAAACTATACAAAATTCGGCTGACCTGCAGAAAAGTAAAATCATTAATATTTTGGTCAAAAATGAGGGTGTTTTGAATGAGGCATTGTGATGTTTTTGAAGGTCAAAAATCACTTGCCTCCTATACTGAACACAAATCATGCCTCATGTACCACAAAGCACTCAACATCACGTGTTCAATAACCAAGTCATTTCAGTAACAACCTCTCCTATTTCCATTCCTGATAACTTCCCTGCTCATGTCATGCTCAGTGAGTTAATATAAATTAGATTAGAGATTAGGAATGCAGCTCATTAGAAGACCTGCATAATGTACTTTTCAAGTTGTGTTTTTAACAACACAACATACAGCTTGCTCTGGCAGATGTCAAAACCCAAGGAGATTTCTTCTTTTTCTACCCTACAAAGTCCTTTTCTCCCAGACTCTCACACAGTTCTTCCTAAAATATCTAGGGGAGAGTACTATAACATGGTTGCTTTTAATTCCAAAGGCAGACATTGCAACTTCAGTATGAAACATACCTAAATGAGGTCAGCAAAAGCCCCAAATGAGGCTTTCTAAATCTTCCCATTACAGTGCAATTTGGAATTTTCTTGAAATACTAAAAGCAAAAACTTAAAATCATCATTTTATAGTGCCTGGAAAAATGTGTTAGCACATATGAATGAGTTTCATGTATGACTAGTTGCACATTCTGCAAAACTCATTCATATGTGCTAGCACATTTTTCAAGGCACTATATATAATTTCCACATTGGGAATGACCTCTTCAAACACTTGTATCCTTTTTCCCAGTCACTGCACACCCCAGAATACTTACAGCTTCTTTAATCTCACAGGAGAAAACATGGATCTGGAACTCTTCTGTCCCACAGCTGCTCTCAGTAAATGCAAAGCAGTCACTCTCTGAAGTCCCATTTTGCCCCCTCACACAAAATAACACCTTATAGATGGGAAACGAGGCTATCTCCAAATTGCTCAACTGATTAATTATTCTGGCAAGAAAAGGAACAGGGAAGATCAAAGGAACAGGTCAGTAAAACAGACAGGCCTACCTGAAAGGCTCTTCTGTAATTAGATAAATAAGAATCTAAACTCTAATTACTGTTAAATTCAAGAAGATGAGATGGGTAGCAGGAACAGAAATGTTATGCTTTACAAATTAAAGGTGTAAATGTTCCTGGTTGTAACACTGACTTAATTTCTTTTGTATGCCATAATACAGACAAATACAGTACCTCTAGATCAGACAATGGCAATTACTTGTGAAAAACACAAAAGAAGAAATACAGAAATCACAGAAAACCCTAAAAATGTGATTTGTATACAAAGAAAATGCAACACTAAAAAGGGAATCTAAATAGCTGTTTAAAAAATCATTATGAAAATGATTTCAGAATCAACAGGACTTAGCAAACAATACCACCACAGCTTAGCAAACGCTGCCACATTCAGGTGAGTATTTAACACAGATCTAAGACTTCACCCAAAATTTTAAAATACTCTCAAACACAGAACCCAAAGAATATTTCAGAAACTTAAAAGCAGGAGTGGTGTTTCAGAACAGACTGATGGATAGTGACTTTTAGAGAATAACAAATGTTCTCCTCTATCTTTTCACTACTGGTCCATATGCACATTCACATCAAGGACCAATAAAAATTAGTCCCCTAAAATTCCAAGTCTGTAACAATAAAAATACAGGACTAATCTAAAGGCAAGAAGGGCCCTGGGAGGATTCAGCACACTGTAATTTTGGTGGGACACTACTGGAACCTCACAGGACAAGCATTCAGACACCAGGTATGAACACACTCCTCAAAGCCAACACTAGTATCACCTAAGCTTTGATGGAATGTGTTATGTCACATGTGCATTCAACTTTTCAGTTCTGTGCAGGTTCTTAGGCAGTGCCACATTTACTGATCTCCTCTGAAATTAAAGGTCAAAGGAACCTGCTGTTTCACTTGCAAAACAACCCTCCTGAGTGGCCACACCGAGTAAAAATAGGCATGGAACACCTTACATCTTGTATAAGGGTGACTGTTTCCATTGTAGAAGTACAGAAATACAGTATTTTCTGATGTCAAATGAAATTCAAATTGTGTTCAAAGAACAAAATGGAAGAAAATAATACAGATTCTTGAAGGTCCTTCTCTTCCTCCCCAAGATGATAGTCAATACAGAAACACAGCTCAGACAAGGAAGGAAATCCAATCATATCCTTCAGATACCTTGATATCAGAGCTTAGAAATAAACATCTTAGATATTGATATGTTCCTTACTTCTGGATGCAAAAATGCTACAGGTGCATGTTTAGTGCAGCCTGGTCAAGAATCTTTGACTCCCTCATCACTATTGAAGACCCTTCTCACATGGGGAAAGTAAATATTTTCTAGAGATTGTGAGCACTGGCATCATGAGGCAGACATGGGTCAGAGCTGGCTTCTGCACAGCAATGGCTGGGAGCAGAGACTGGCACCTCAACGCTGCAACATAGATGGGAGAGTCCAAATTGACACTTCTGCAGCAAACCCAAGGCCAGAAGGACTCCTGCAACTCATGCACCTTGGAGGCACTGACAGACTAGGGAGGTCAGGAGAGCACAGGTATTGTCAGCTCTCCCTTTCCAGTATCTCTTGTTGTCATATTTGAACAGATATTAAGGTAGAAAGAGATGCTTTTGTTGACACTGTGTGGTAGCTGGTACCACCAGCCATGCACTGCATGGTAAATCTGAGCACACATTTTTCTGCTTCAGAGGAATTTCTCAAAATTAAGCGTCTTCAACAAGAACCTCAGGGACAAATTCAAGCAGTTCTACTCTCCTGTGCAAGTAACAGAGTGAGAAACCACTTCTTATGGGTCTGCTTAAGCAACAAATGAAACTCTTGTGTTACCTTACAGAGCCTTCTGGAATGTTTGGGACATAGAGTGTTACAGGTAAAGGAGTTTGACTTGAGGACTTCATGTTTGCCATGGCATGCAGAGCTTCTGGTTCATTCCGTGGGGCTGACACCTTCGTACAACCCAAATAAGTCAGTTTGTTAAACAACACACTGTCCTCTTCCAGGGGTTCACTGGGAGAAGATGGCCTTGGTGCAGAGATTTCTGAAAATGAAGAAAACACTTCTTTAGCCATTTGCTTTTATTTCCACACATTTTTTCTTTCCAATGAGTTCCACAGCCAAATCTCCTACATCTTCCAGGGAAGGACATGAGAGCAGACAATTCAGCTCCAATAGCAAGAAATCCATTTGACAGCTTAGTATTACTGTGAAGTCTGTTCTAATCTAATTCATGTTTCCAAGGGTGGCATGGGGACAAACTGCATTTTGATTCTCTTTAGCATCACAGGAACACAGCACAGACATTCTGAATCTTTGTAAGCAGTCACAGAATCACAAAACCATAGAACATTAAGGGGCTGGAATGGACCTTGAAGACCACCTAGCACTGGACCCTTCTCTGTGCCCTGTTACTTCTATTCCTTATTACTAGATACTGCCATAACACTTAGAATCATGAAGGCTGCAAAACTGAATTATTCCTGTTGGGGCTGGAGTGGGGCAAGAGAAACATATCTACAAGTATTTCTTTGTTCAGTCATGCTCAGGGCTGGGTTTTGTTGGAAGAATGTCAAACAGTAAGACAGTAAGTTTCTCAGAAATACAGCAGACATGTAATTAAGAGAAGGGTGTTTCCATTTCATATAAACTATTTCTTTTATTTCCAACACATACTATGGGAATTAAATGACAGAATACCACAGAAGTGTCCTGCATGCTGTTGAGGTAAAAAGAATTCTAGTTTAAAGCACAAAAAAAATGACCACAGCATTGTATTCCTAATATACATAACAGAATGCGTGTATTTTTATACTGCATGTTTTCAATATGTATCTAAAAAAGCTACAATACAATATAGTTTACATTAAAAGCTTTCAGTCCTCCCCTTTTCATGAAAACTTTATACACCAGGCAAGTACCACAATCACTCCTAGCAAATATCAAATGCTAAGCTAGCCTTAGGGCTGCCTGGTGACACCATCAGAGAGGGCCAGTTCAAGCAGTTTGCTCAGGGTGTATTTCATTTGCAGGTAGCACTATCCATGAACACTGCCCTGAAATTTCTTGAGGTGCAGCAGCAGCAGATCCACCTCAATTATCATCCACTCTGCAACTCATACAATCCTCAGTCCCAACTAAGCCTTGGCTGAAGGAAAAATGAACATTATTTTGACCAAAGCAGAGCAGCTCAAAGTATCAATCTGATGATAATCTATTCTTATCTATAATCTTCAACTAAAAATAAGAGGAGGCTCCTAGGTATACTCCAACACAATTCTGGAACGAAGCTCTGGAAAGCTTTATATTCATTTTGGGGTTAACTTGAAACTGCATAGAGAACAACACTGCCATGTGTGATGAAGGGGAAAGCACTCAGGCAATACCTGTAGCAGAAGGGTCTAACACAAGCTGCAAAGCTGGCTGGGATGTTTGTCCTGCTGACCCATCTGCAGCTGCCTGGCCACTGCCATCCCTGAATCCTTCTGGGAGTGCAGTGACATCATGGTCCTTCTCAGAATCCCGCAGGATCTCTTCCATTGCCTTCTCCAACTCCTCATCTCCATTTGAAAATACCTGTAAAGCAGAAGGAGATGAGATTTTTTTGAAGGTACTTGGAGTTTTATTTTCATTATTAGTTTTCAAATATATAGTCTTACTGATTACAAAAGTTAAGAAACTTTGCTGAACAAGGCAACAAACCAAGAATCAATAAAATTGAATTAAATACGAACCAGTGTCATATTCCCTTACATAAAATGCAGATGTTCTCATTGCTAATCCAAAAACCCATCCATCAAAAAACTACAGAGTTCTCCTAGAATAACAGACTTGTGTATTTAGAACCTCCATTTCAGACTAGAGATCAATAGGCTTTGCTATAATTAGTCTTAGAGAAAATTTTACTTTCTCAGTCATATCCAGCCCATTTCAGTTGCTTCACCAATTTTCCCACACAAGAGTGGTGCAAGCCTAAGGAAATGAAAAAAAAATTGGAGATATACACTGCCTAAAAGAAAAATAGAATCTTTCACAAGTACCAGCTTTTCAGACAAAAGAAAACCATGCTGCATCATGGATTCTGCCTCCAGTCCAACAGCCTCTTTCTAGATTAAAGAAGCAGATAATGTCTAATATAGACAGAAATTATCAGCTGTAAATAACCATCAAACAGTACAGAAAAGACAGACTAGGTGTTTACTGTCATTTCAGGGGGAATAAATTCCTGTTGTTCCAAGCAGAGCAAAACCAGTACATTGGCTACTACAGCTCAAATGGTGAGATTTGTATTTAACCAATCAGCTGTGCACCCAAGTTCTGAAATATTCTGCTATTTATACGTAGAAAACTAGAAAACTTTTAGAAAAGATCTTACTCATGCCTAAAGTAGCACTAAGCAGGAAAACTAAATTAGGAACTAAAGTGCAAGACATGGTGTAATCTATTCCTATACAGATTAATTACATGCTTTTAAGATAACAGTCTCTGATCCCTCAATAAAGAATATCAAGCTTTAAACTGAATCTAATTCTTTGGAAAGTCCTTTACTCATGTATAGATCCACAGAATACAACAAAGCTAACTCCCAAAGAAGAATTATTATTCTGTTATTAAAAGAAAATCTGAACTGCCACTTTTGGACAGAGTTGTTTAATCCAAGCTGTTCATTTCACTGGCAGCCAGCAAGGACAAAAATTGCAGTGTAAAACTCTCCTTAACCACACACCAATTATGCACTCTTTCCATTGATACAAACCTTGCTACACATTTAAAAATAAAATCAGAGCAAACCTTTAGCTGTGGCTTCTCATCATTTCCAGAGGCATCCTCAGATTTCTGATGAACCAAGACAAATTCTTCCTTAATTAATGTGGATACAGTCTCAGGAATCCTGCTGGCTTTGCTAAATGATGTTTTGACTTCCATCTCAGGTCAGTTTTCTCTTCCTGCCACCAGAACCTAATAATGACAAAAAAAATAGTTTTGATGTTGTGCACAGTATGTTAATAGGTATAATATAAAGATATTATGGAATAATAAAATACTTAAGATTATACAACTGTATTTCTCAAACTCTGATTTCATTGGTATATGAATTAATATACCTATGATTTAACAGCAGTGGCTGTTATCTATGCATACAGATAACAAAGGAAGAGGTTCACCCCAGAGCTTTGACTTCCCTGTTCTTAATCTTCATAGTCTGCTTCCTCTACCTCACTGATTTGTGCCCTTGGTTCTCCCTCATACAGGTATTTTCCTTACCCAGAGTGTCACAAAGGTCATGTGAAGATACAGATTACCTGAAGGCTAATTTCCCAAAAACTGCTCTCCACATAAAAACATTATTTAGCAATCACTTATGTTAGGGGCTTTAGTTTAGTAAGTCAAAAGTGATACTAAATCACAATCAGATCCTTCTCACCTTATTTCCCTGAAACCCTCTGCAACAGTTAAAATTAACCACACCATTTAAAAATACAACCATAAGTATTATAAACATAAATCTAAAATATAAACAACGAAACTATAAATACTATGGCAACCAAGAACAAAATTTCCTATCTCTGCACAAGAAAAAAAACCCCAAATCTAGAAACAAAGAGAAAGGGCAAAATACTGTTCAGTCTATACATTCCAAGTTCATATAACAATACAGAGCTGAAACATTCCAAGCATGCCAGCATGAGGACACTTACTGTAGGTATCCACCAAATAAAGCCAGCATGACCTACATTGACTCAGAATGTCTTCCCTCATTCCTTAGAGAATTAAGAGCTGAATCTCAGCCTTTTTTTCTTATCTATTTTTATATTTTCTGTGTCAAAAAAGGGAAAATATATTTTCAGACTTTATAAAGAGCATGCACTTGAACATATGGTCTACCTCCATTCCAGTTTCCTGAACAACACTGCTCTGGCTGAGTGCTGGGATGTATTGTGCTCAGGAGTCAGAGTTCAGGTGAGTCACAGCACAGGGGGAAAAAATCTGTGCCTGTCACCTTTGGGAGGCTGGAAAGTGCCCAAGGAGGAACAGCTCAAGCCACATCTGCTGTAAGCAGGAACAAGAGGAGGTTAAGCTTCACCCTGCCCTTCCCAGCAGCACCAAGGAGCAGAACTGCACCACTTTTGCTTCTCTTCCAATTCCAACCACCCAGTGATCAAGACAAGAATGCTGACTTAGGTCTAGCTATAGGGAACCAGAAAAACAGCCCATGAAAGAACAAAGGCATGCATGTTCTCCACCATTTTGAACAGGTGTTACTTAGGATGTTAGCAGGAACAGAAAGTTTAGCAATTTCAAACCAAAACAAGCAATTGAAGGAACTAGACAACTTTCAATACTGTAGTATTTTCTATGATTTTTGAACCTACAGCTAACATGCTCTTGCCCTTTCAAAGACTTGGCTTAGCATAACTTACATGCAACTCCTCAAAAAGCTTTGCCCTTTCCCTAACCAAGCCACAGCTTTACCCATCTACCCAGTGAGGGTATCACATGTAGGAACCCCAGAAAAAAGAATTCAAGCTCTTTAGATAACTGACCTGTACAGCATAAAACTCATTAGAAATCACCTTATTAAAAAAGCCTCGAAACAACAGCTGGGATACTCAGAGTGGCTACACATTTGGAGGAGCAGTTTCACACCCTCTGGCACCTTTCAGAGCTCCAGACCAAGCACAAGCAGGAATATTTTCCTGACAAATGATGTAAGCTGAGTTCCACCCAGCCCACATAATGGACTCACTGCTGCATTAGGTTTTGCTTCAACTTTTTGAAAGCATCTTTGCTTTAAAGATTTCCTTGACAAGAGAAAGACAAAGCTTTACCACACAAGATTTTTAGTGCGTTACACAAACTACATTAACTACACGCATTTTTTAACAAGTGTTGTAAAAACATGGCTGAAGAGCTTGTTTGCAATAAACAGCAAATCTAGCTCAAAATACTAATTTCAAAGTAAATCCTCTATATAAAAGCCAAGGTCAGGTATTACAGAACTCTTTGAAGGCAATGAAAGGCCTTTAGTTATGGTCCCCAAATACAGTATACTCTGAAGAATCATTATCTTTGCAGTGACATCAGCACTGGAAAAAACAAAAGAGGGGACTGTCAGCCACATTAGGAGCACAGGTCCAGGCTATCAGAGACCCCTCTTCCTCCCACTGCACACCTTGACAGTTTTTTGTGTTCTAGTCTAATTAAATTTAATTTTTGAGCTAACTCATGGGAGAGTAACACAGAAACTCCAATGAAAAATGGTTTTACTTTATCATCAGTCAAATGCAGATTGCTAACATCAGATTATCAACAATTCTTTCTGTGAAGAAGTAAGAACCAACAGGCACCATGTGAACTATGAAGTGTTTTCTGTAGCAGTATTTCAATAATAAAAGGAGGAAAAACGTACCATTTGTAAAGCCAAAGAAAAGTAGGATCATGCAAATACAGAAGCATACTGATGCACTAAATACTTATTCTTGGCCCAAATGGGTAAATGGAGATGAAGAGAATTTCTGCTTCCTAAATATTAAACTGAAAGTAACTACTATAAACATTAGATGACTGGGAGGAGCTCCTTATTCAGGTCAGATAAAAGCAAGTGCAAGAAAGTGTAGAGCATGCTGTGAAATTGAGTTACAAGGCCTTTCATGTGTTTAAGAGTGTACTCCAAGCCTGCCTTCACAAGCAGCTTAAAGCACCACAGCCAGTGCAGACACACACCTTTTTCTACACACAACTACACTAACTGGATCAATCCCAGAACCCTTCATTCCAGACTAACCTATTGCCAGTGCTCCCCTCTCCCACTGCAGTACAAAACTTCAGCTTCAGTTTGGCATTAAACACAAACACAAGCAGACCAGGCACTTAGGAAAAGCTTCATACACCATATTTTATGATCAGTCTTTGACCAAAAATAGGTTTTAATGCCAGAGATGAACTATCATGACCAAGTCATTTCTTCAAACAAAACAATTTAAACTCTGACACAAACCTTACTCAAGAGTATAGCTGTGATTCTCATGAAGACTATTGAAATTTACATCACCTTAAGTAGTAAGCTACATAAAGAGAAAAATTTTCTATTTTTTCATTATAAAGACATATGATCTAATACTTCAGCCAAGTGCTTTTGAGGAAAAGCAGTAAAAAGAATAAAAATCTTTCTGAAAGAATAATGCATTAATATTTTTTGAGGCAGAGAGAAACATCTGAAGCAGTTTTTTCTTTAGTAACAAGAAGAGAGACATGCACTCTGGACTTTCCAGTCACCAGCAGTCAGTGGATGGTAACTCTCACTTCCCTTGTGCCACTGGATCTAGTCCTCTTTTTTACTCACCACCAAATTATTCACTTCAAACCTCCCTTTTCCTACACATGTAAAGGAAAAAAGGACAGCTGACATACTAGACATGAACAAAATCTAGGAGCAGACTCCTACTACTAAACTCAAGCATCTCATTTCTTTTAATTGTCCTTTTCAAGGAAAAGTTTTAAGTTAAGAATGTAAGAATTTATTTCTGACAGCATTAGTCAGAACATATAGAAGTTGTTCTGCCCACAATCACATCAGGTTTACTCCCTAATGACCTCAACAGCTGAATGCTGGCTCAGAATCCTGAGGAATGAGGTTCAGCATTTGCTTTACCAGCTTAAAGTTTCTGGGAGGGCAGCAACCAGCAGTGAGGAGCTGCCAGTCAGGGACAGGAAAGAATAAATCCAAAGCACTTCAGCTGCCTCAGCCCCAAGGCAGTTCCTTAGTTTGAGCTGCCGGTGGAGTTTAGTTTAAGTTACTGGTGGAGTTCAGTTCCAAATGAAAAATACACTCTGTTCTGCCAATGGTGATCCAAGGATTGCAACCTCAGGTCAGACGGTGCCTTCCCAAATCCTCAGAGCCAGGAGTCAGAGCAGCTCCTCCAACAGCATCTTCCAAAAGATGACAACAAATTCTGCTGTCAAAGTTCTCTTCACAGCAGGAAACACTCAGAAGTGTGTACTGCTACTGCGAGGAAGTCATTGCTACAAAAGAGGTACCTTGAACAGTCATGCTCCTTCCTATAGAGAAGGATCTCCCCCCATCCTTTGGTGAATAATATCACACACATGTAAAAAAAAATAAGGAACAAATGCACAGGAGGAATTTTTTCTAAATTCAGTGAAAGAAAGCCTACTCTGATAAAAGAATTAATTTTTTTTTTTAAATAAGAGTTTCAGAAAAGGTTTTCTGACAAACAGATTTTAGGACTAAAGAACTTTTGAAATACAAAGAAATTATTCAGACATAGTTTTAAGAGAGTGTGTGTGGAAGTGTGGTATGGTGTGTGGCTCTTGCTCCAAAACAAATTTTAAGTCATAGGGCCAACAGGACTGCAAAAAAGCTGTTGCTTTTCTCTGTGAGCTTTATGATGTAGTTTTGGTCAAGCCAACCTCTCTGATGTGCATCAACTCCCAGTGTTTTGCTTATACACAGTCCTGGATAAAAGGTAATTAAACCATACTAGAACTGTTTTGGGTCCAGTGATCAGAACTTACTTTCACATATGTTCAGTACTAAGCTGTGGAAGGCTCAAACCCAGCAGCTTCCCCACTTCATTCCAGAGAGACACCCCAAGCTCAGTACAGCTGCCTTTGTAAAGCAGCCTAAGTGATTAAAGAGCAAGAAAGGTGAAGAACAGTGACTCTAGAACAGCCAGGGGGACTCAGCACTGAATCAGAGCCAGGGACACATGACAGAAACCCTCCTGATTCCTTCCCTCCATAACCCTTCCATGCATGCACACTGAGCCCAGACTTGCAAAAACACATCACATGCAGAACACAAACAGCCAGGCAGTGATGTACATCCATGGCACTGCTGCAACACACACGCATCATCCCAGGAGAAAGAATCTAAGGTTCTGGAAAGCCACTGACTCTCCTGAAGGAAACTGCTTTGCAGACCTGATAGATTCAAA